AAGGGCGACACAACAGATGTGGTGGTCACGGATGCCATGGAGGAACACACCGAGACCAAGGGCGACACAACGGCTGCGGTGGCCACGGATGCCATGGAGGAACACACCGAGACCAAGGGCGACACAACAGCTGCGGGTCGAGTTGCTCCCACGGAATCAATCGTAGAAGCAACCAAGGCCGATGAGGAAGAGGCTGCGAACCGAAAAGGGGCAGCCAGGGTCACAAACGGCATGGAAGGGGTTACTAAGACTGATGAGGACGTAGGTGCGGCAGAGGCAGGTAATGAAGAAGAGGCTGTGATAGGTGTGACAGGTGCCGATAATAAAGAAGGGGTTGTGACAGGCGTAGTCCGAGGACAGTGTGTAGATACAGAGAAAGCGGGTGATGAATAGACCATCGAAGCATGCTGCGGAACCAGTTGGAGAGGCGGGTCACATGCGYAGGGTACCTGTGTTGACGTTTACGAATATAGGAAGTCCATCCTTTCGCAAGCATTGTTGGAGAGTGCCCGCGAAAAAGCATGCGGCGTGTGAGCATCGCTGCTGCAGTTTTGAAATCATACCAGTTGTTGCAGACATACTCAAACCTGGTAAGCTGGCCTGTAAACACTCCCACCGGCTGGTGTGCAGGGACGTTAGATGTAGCACTAGGACAACGAATAACAGGGAAATTCCATTCAGCTGCTTTGTCAAAGACACTCATACGCAGGGAGCCGTCAGGGCGGACTTGGAGGCGTGCACCCAAGAATGTGCAAGAGCCATCAGGCGCTGTGGTATCCTTCCATTCGAGGCCATAGTGCTCTGATGGTGGTGGCAGATGTCCCCATGAGAGAACATCACCGATCAAGCGGTATGTGAACGCATACCGTTGAGCTGCGCGAAGATCACGCTGCTGGAGGTCATCAACAAATCGAGCCTCATCCCAATACAACGTCAAATTAACTATCTCCGGACCAAAATTAATCCCCATCGGGATGCCAATCAACTGATGTCGCAAGGTGACGTTTGCTGCATAAAGATAAGTGTTTGTGACAATGAAATGGAGATGCTCAAGAATTTGGGGAACGGTCAAGGTGTTTGGTCCGGTATCAACCGTCCACTCCCCTTGACGGGGCCCTTTAACAACCATGTTAAGGGTAGGAGGATGTGTGCGCCCCTGTGTGTGCTGTTGTAAGGCATATGTATAGGCTTCCTCAACCACTTTTGAAACATTATGACAAATACGGTCACGAGGAAGATTGGTATACATAGTTGTGAAATCAACAGCGCAAGGAGCATGGTCACGAAGAGAAGAGGAGTTACGTTTGAGATCAAGCATCACCTCCTCAGCGCTTTGCACGATCCAACACCGTCTCACACCGCTTTTGCTGATACAACACATTATCCTTCTCACTGAGAGTTTCAACGACTCCTTGTAGTGCAACGCTGAAGCGGGCAAAAGTGACGGTAGTACTGGCCAAGGGTTTGTGGGGAGGTCGATGGTGGACTGCATGAACGGATGGCGCAGTTGATCAAGATCGTTGTCGCAGGGAGAGATTATTCCGCTCTGTGACGCCGACAATATTGAAGCCCAGGGGGCGATTTTTGCGCTTTAAGTGCACAAGTGGACATGCCGCAGTTACGCTGCGGCCGAAGCCAGGGGGGGGGGGGGGGGGGGGG